TCAATGTGAACCATAAGAGACTCTGTATTCTGTCTCTTATATTTCTTGGATAAGAGTAATAAAGGCCTGTTTTCAGAAAATGTCTGTATTTAGAACAGTACTTTCATGTGCATCCTCAGAACAATATCCATGCCAAGATGTGTGGTTCTCACTATTTCTTAAAATGGCCTCACTTCTCAGTTTCACTTTTGCACTGGCCTGAGCCTGCAGTCTTCTGTCTGCAACTATGTTTACTTATTTGAAAATATATATGCACGTAAAATATTTTTAGGAATTCACTGCAAAGTCTGGCATAAGAAAAACCAGAGGAATAGTCATGAAAACCACAGCCCTGGCTGCTGTTTCCATCTGATGTAACACCATGCCATTTTGGACTTTGTAAGGGCTCTATGCAACTGTCATTTTCCAATGTCTCCTCAGCTGAAAATGCAACCAGGGAAAATGTAATCCCTGCTTTGAAAGGTGGCAGAAGCTGCCTCTGCCTACACTTGTGAAAAGTACAGTGGGCCCAAATGTAATAATAGCCCACTATAGTTCTTGGGCGTGCTGGCAGCAGTGATATTCCTTGCAGTAAGCCAGATAATTTTAATCCAACTCTCTATTTAAATTAGTACATAATGTGGGAAACCAGACCAAGCTCCTTATTCACAGAATGAAGTTAACATAGCATCCAGCATTACTGTTTGCAAGCTGGAAACTTCCTTCTTGAGTAGTATTTGATAATCATCCTTGTCCGCATGACCTGTATGTCAGCATATGCTGAGAGCACATCTATTTTGAAACTAGTCTTAATAACACAGCTACAGCCCTGCAGAAGGGAGAGCTGCCTGAACATGCCTCCGCACTGCTCAGCTATAGCAAGTTCTGCATCAAGCACTGAAATCTACTCTGGGCTCAGGAAAGAGCCTTATAATTAACCTATTATTGCAAGACTTTTGGGTTTATTCCCCAAGGAAAGACCATCTAGGTAAGACACGAAAAACATGTCAATCTAATACAGTAATAGAACACTGAAGCTCTGTAGCCTAATGACGTATTAGATTTATGAAAAGCTCTTTTCTATTTATCCCCTGCAAACACATACTTGGATTCAAAAACATTATAAAATTGTTAATCCATAATACATTTCTCCTGTCAGTTGGATGACAACAGTCTGCACTAACTAAGATTTTTGAATTAAGTAGTTTTTTGGAGCTCTTTTTTCATTATAGCAACATTTTTAACACTGCAAGTATTATAGCTCTGCTATAAAATGCTACAGCATAATTTTAGGCTGTGGTCTGTATCCTGCTAATCAATACAACTGCATTCTTCATTCTCCTCAATCTCCTTTCCTTTTTTCATTAGTCTTAACTACATGATACTTTCTCTGACCTGTTACTGAGGAAGAATTTCGATACAGTGTCACCAGAAAGTGAAAGAGCTTTCTAGCAGATAATTGCAAAGCAGATAAAGAAGGTTGTAACCAAAATTTCTATAATACTCAATTCACTTGGTAATATTTATCTCCCTGGTCAAACTTTCCCCAGAAAGGCTCTTGTGGTGGATGCTTCATCATCTGTATGGGGCAACAAGAAGAAATGTTGCTGCTACTTTCAATTAGGAAATAAAACAAAAAATTTGGAATAAGGGAATAAGGCGTTGGAGGGGACTTGTGTCATTTGAGACCGTCTTGATTTACAGGTAATGTAGAAGTGAAAATATCAGGTCAAAACATGGAATCATTTACTTAGTTATTATTCTTGATAATGCACACTCCTGAAAGCAAGTGCTACCACTGTACTTTCTCACTGATTTTCAAAAATAAGTTCCACTGTGACTGAAATTTTGCCCTGAAGTTCCAAAAACCAGCTTTTGACAACAAGGTGCTGAATCATGATTTTAAAAAGTTAAGATTTTTGCTAAGAGTAGAAGTAGTTTCCATGACCAAGATGTAAGTTAGGTAGGTAAATGGTAGGTTAATAATTACGAGATGCTTAGGCTAGAGCTAAATGGTATAATTATCTGCTATTATAAATTTACGTACAGAAGAACGTAAAATAAGTAAACCATTAACCATGAAGCACGGGGCCTTGGATCGTGCCAGAGAGTCACCGAGACCTGATGAAGACTCTCCTGACTTCATCCTTCGAGACCACTGACCCATTTCGAGACCACCGACCCAATTCAAGAGATGACTGCACACACGTGAAGGACTAATGGGCTCATTTTAATACTGGATGGGGATGGGAGGTGCTGGGGTTATGCATATGTATTGTATGTAAGATCTTGGGGAATAAACAGAGGGCAAAGAACCTTGTTCGGGGTGGTCACGCCTTTCGGAGGTGACTCCCGTGCCGCCCGCCAGTGAATAAACATACCACTTTCTTTAACTTTAATTAGTTAGAGGGTCTTCGTCTGTGATTATACCAGGTTTTTTTAATGATTCATTTGATCGAGCTGGTAAGTGGAAAGTTACATTTAGTACCCGAGCTGTGGGCTGTAAGAAAAAGTTTAGGAAAGGACTGTAAGGATCTTGTCTTGCTGAGTGAAAAGCAGGACAAGAAGCAAAGGACAAGATAATAAGAATTAAAGCAGAGTACCAGTTTTGTTAAGGAGAGATGACGGGAACTAACCAGAGTAAAGAGATCCCTAAAACCAGTCCTTTGGGGTGCGTTTTGGCACATTGGAAGGAGCTAGTGGGGTATGGAGGTGCAGAGAACCAAAAGACCCTTGTAAAGCTTTGTACACAATGGTGGCCACTTTATAAGCTTGAGAGGGGAGCCAGGTGGCCCTCAGTTGGATATTTACATTATGAAACTTTGTTACAGCTTATGTTATTTTTGAGACACAGAAATGGGAGGAGGTGACTTACCCTGAGTGTTTGGGGTTTTTTTTGTTTTTTTCTCTCCTGAATCACCCTGAGTGGCAGAAAGATTGTGGACTCTGAGCCCCCTCTGACCCCTTGGTATTGGTCTTAGAAAAAGACAACGAGGCTAAATTAAAATGATGTTGTAGTACATCCTCCGTAAACCAATGCCGTACACACCCTGATAAGGTGTATCCAGCTAACCGTCTGGAATAAGAATTGGGGAATTTGTTTGAACCAGCCGCTAAAAGGCAAAGGGGGGTGAGAGGGGAAGCAAATTTAAGACGGTTATTAACCTCAACTCCCGCTTTACCTTCTACTTCTGAAAAAAAGACAGCTCGAGTTACTTCAGCTCCTATTCCCTCATTCCACCTCCTGAGATTTCTATCCAGACTCCAGCCTATGTCCCATCCCCCACTCCAGTCCCATTCCACCTCCTGAGATTTCTTCTTCGATCCAGACTCCGGCCTATGTTCCATCCCCCACTCTAGTTAAAGCAATTTCTATTTCAACTCCAGTATCCAGAAGGAAGAAAAGGTGATGATCAAGGCAGAGGAGATTGAAAAGAGGAATGGAGCAGAGGCTCTTACCCTAGGAGACCCTCTGGTTATAATAAAAGTAGGGAACAAAGAAAAAAAAATTGATAAACACAGGAGCAACATATTTGCTGTTAAATAAAGCCTTAATACCAATAACAGATGATTATGTCATGGTAAAGGGGGCAACTGGCTAATCTGAAAGGGCTTATTTTTGTAGCCCATTGAAATATAAGTTTGGGAAACAACGGGTAATTCACAGGTTTTTATATATGCCCAATGCTCCATTAGCACTTTCAGGCATGAATCTATTGGAACTATTAAAAGCAAAAATAGTATTCAAAAATGGGGAAATTAGTTTGGAGGTAAATGATCAGCAATACGTGGAACTGTTAAACTTAATGCTAATAACCAAAGATATTGAAGCTGAAAACAAAGAAGAAATTATTAAGAAAATAAAAGATCATGTTTTCCCTGGGATGTGGGGCTCCAATATACCAGAGAGAGTAAAGAATGCTCTACCAGTACAAATCCGGCTTAAAGAAGGAAAACAACCAGTTAAAATTAGACAATACCCCTTAAAAAAGGGAAGTAGAGGAGGGATTAGTCCAATAATTAAGAACTTTTTGCAAATAGGACTACTAAAAAATGTCAATCAGATTTTAATACTCCTATTTTGCCCGTAAAAAAGCCCGATGGATCATACAGGTTAGTACAAAATTTGCGAGCTGTTAATAAGATAACTGAAGATTTATACCCAGTGTTTCCCCACCCCTACACCTTGTTAACTTGTTTAACATCTGAACTAACTTGGTTTACCGTTTTAGATTTGAAGGATACTTTCTTTTACCTTCCTCTCCATGAAACCAGCCAGAAAATTTTTGCATTTGAATAAAAAAATCCCAAAACTGGACGTAAAACTCAGCTCACATGGTGTGTACTACCCCAGGGGTTCAAGAACCCCCCCCTACCATATTTGGAGAACAGCTGGCAAAAGATCTAGAATCCTGGGAAGCTCCATCAGGAGAAGGACAGCTGTTACAGTATGTGGACGACCTCCTAATAGCTACTAAGACTCAAGAAGTATGTATGGAGTGGATGGTAAGCCTCCTAAATTTCTTGAGTCTACAGGGTTATCAAGTATCCCAGAAGAAAGCCCAGATGGTGAGACAAACAGTTGTCTATTTGAGCTATGAGATTAGTGCTGAACAAAGAACCTTGGGACAGGATCGCAAGGAAACAATATGCCAGACCCCAAAACCCCAAACAGTGAAAGAACTGAGAACCTTCTTGGGCATGACAGGGTGGTGCAGACTATGGATTTACAATTATGGGCTGTTAGTCAAACCCCTATATGCCTTGATTACGGAGGGAAACAGAGGTCTCCAATGGACGAAAGAAGCACCATGAGCCTTTGACCAACTAAAGAAGGCTCTCATGTCAGCTCCAGCCCTGGGACTTCCAGATGTGAGTAAACCATTCTTCCTGTTTTCTCACGAAAAGCAGGGGATTGCTCTGGGAATGCTAGCACAAGACCTGGGCCCGTACCGGAGGGCAGTCACCTACCTCTCCAAACAGCTGGACACGGCAGCCAAAGGGTGGCCAGGGTGCCTCAGCTGTTGCAGCAATAGCACTGAACATCCAAGAGGCACACAAATTCACCCTAGGCCAGAAGATGACTGTGCTAGTATCCCACACAGTGTCTGCAGTCCTGGAGGCGAAAGAGGGACATTGGCTTTCCCCACAGAGATTCCTGAAGTACCAGGCCATACTGGTAGAACAAAATGATGTTGAAATGGTGGTAACTAACATTGTGAATCCAGCTTCTTTCCTCAGCAAAAGCATGGAAGAACCAGTGATCCATGACTGCCTGGAGACCATTGAAGCCTCCTACTGCAGTTGCCCAGATCTGAAGGACACCCCTCTCGAGGATGCTGAGACCTGGTTCATTGATGGGAGCAGCTACATCATCAGTGGAAAAAGACATGCTGGGTATGCAGTTACCACAAGCAGAGAGGTAACGGAGTCTGCACCATTGCCAACAAACACCTCTGCACAGAAGGCTGAAATAATTGCCTTAACCCAGGCCCTAGAGCTGGCAAAAGGAAAAGAAATCAACATTTATACAGACTCAAGGTATGCATTTGGAGTGGTTCATGCACATGGAGCTATTTGGAAAGAAAGAGGACTGCTGAACTCACAAGGAAAAACTATTAAAAATGCACAAGAAGTGCTAAAACTATTAGATGCAGTCCAGTTACCAGAAAAGGCAGCTATTATGCACATCAAGGCACGCCAAAAAGTGAGCTCTGAACTGGAAGAAGGAAATGAGCTGGTGGACAGAAAAGCAAAAGAAGCAGCCAAAGGTGAGGTAATTATTAAAACAATTGAGGCAGCTTTAATCCCAGATGGGCAAATTTCTATGGAAGGTAAGCCAAGATACAATAAAAGGGATAAAAAGCGCATTAGGGAAGAAAACGGGAGTTACAACCAGGAGGGGTGGGCTATTACAGACAGAGAAAAAGATAGGTTTGTGATCCCCTCTTACATGTTATGGTTATTAGTGAAAAAGGAACATGAGAAAACACAATGGGGAATTGATGTTCTGTACAATTATTTGAAAGATCAAATCATGGCCAGAAACTTGCAAGGTGCAATAATTCAGGTGACTCGCCAATGTAGCCTTGCCTCCAAACTAATCCCAAGAATATTCCTAAACCAAAGCCTGAACAAATTGGAAAAGGCTATGGGCCTGGGCAACAATAGCAAATAGATTTTTCAGAACTACCCAGGAGAGGGGGGTACCAATACTTATTGGTATTAACAGATAACTTTTAAGGGTGGCCAGAAGCTTTCCCTACCAAAACTGTCAAAGCATGAGAAGTAACCAAAGCATTGTTATTAGTAAAAGAATTTACTAACTTTGAAGAAGGAGTGGGGAATGAATCATGGTTTTAAAAAGTTAAGATTTTTGCTAAGAGCAGAAGTAGTTTCCATGACCAAGATGTAAGTTAGGTAGGTAAATGGTAGGTTAATAATTACTAGATGCTTAGGCTAGAGCTAAATTGGTATAATTATCTGCTATTATAAATTTACGTACAGAAGAACGTAAAATAAGTAAACCATTAACCATGAAGCACGGGGCCTTGGATCGTGCCAGAGGGTCACTGAGACCTGATGAAGACTCTCCTGACTTCATCCTTCGAGACCACTGACCCATTTCGAGACCACCGACCCAATTCAAGAGATGACTGCACACGCGTGAAGGACTAATGGGCTCATTTTAATACTGGATGGGGATGGGAGGTGCTGGGGTTATGCATATGTATTGTATGTAAGATCTTGGGGAATAAACAGAGGGCAAAGAACCTTGTTCGGGGCGGTCACGCCTTTCGGAGGTGACTCCCGTGCCGCCTGTCAGTGAATAAACATACTACTTTCTTACTTTAATTAGTTAGAGGGTCTTTGTCCGTGATTATACCGGTTTTTTTAACGATTCAGTGCAGATCTTGTCTTTCTTTGATAGCTCTGAAAATGCCTGTTTTGTATCTCTGCCTTCTGAATTTCTTTTTATGTCTGCCAAAGAGCAGGGTTGTTTTTTTCATTTAATGTGGATCCCTTCAAAAAACAGCACGAGGCATTATTGTGTAAAACTTTTTTGCATATGCAGGAGAGACAGGACTCTTTTCTCCAATCTTTTAAGTCTGGGATGCAGAGATCTGCAGCTGAGCCTGTTGTTTGGCAGGAATGAGGCAACATCAAAAGAGAGAAAATTGTTTTCTTATTGCTGACTTTCTGGTGAGGTTTTTCCTACAGTTAACAATACCTTTTTTCTATACAAGAGTCTTGAAAGAAAGATATAGCATTTCGAAAAATACTTGTAAATTATATGTCACAGCCTCTCCTTCCTTTCTAATAGCATCAGCATAGCTCTCTAATGCAGTCTGTTTCTATCACAGTCTGTTTCTATCATATAAGAGGGAAGTTTTCTCTAGTGGATGAGATAATGCAGTCACAGGGAGAATGCTCATTATATAGGCTAGCTGTGAAAAATTGAGAAGGGCTCTTTCCAGTGCCAACACAAGGATGAAAAAGGAAAACACCATCCGTGTTCTGTTGTAGCATCCCTTTTCAAATAAAAGGAAGTAATTCCCGAATACTTTTTGCTGGCTTACAATTGCAGTATGCACAACTGGACGATAAAGCATTTGGAAATAAAAATGCTAAATTGTGTCTACTGCATGCGAGGGTGTATAGTGCCATCTTCCTTCTGGTTTCTTTCTTGTTAAGTTCTCAAAAAGAAAGTTCACAAGTTGCATTAAAATGTTTGCAACTTCCCATTATAATATGACATATATAAAATAATTTTAAAATAAACAGGCCTGCCTCAGAAAACTTGTGATGGGTAAGTATAAGGTAATTCATCTGTGATATGCAGATCCATATGTACATGTTATAATCCACACTTGGAAAGCACTTACCACTGTGATTCCCTTTGTCTATGCCAACCCAGTATGCCTTTCAGTTCTTCTAACAAAAGGAATAAATAATTATCCTATTTATCTCTTTTTTTTAAAAATGTGTTCATGTGTCCTGGATGCTTTATGTGATAGATACAGGCAAGGGCTGTCTGTGAAGGTTTGTCACAGTGCAGGCTAAATCATGAGCACAGTGACTTCACAGATGTTTAAGACAGCAATCTTGTAGCACAATCTTACCAATTATGAAAGTTTCATTCATTGATTAAATACAGGAAGAAGAAAATAAAAGAGGCTTTCAAAATGTGAATGGTGGCCTTGATTTTTGTAAGGTAGAGTTAACAGCTGCTTATTGCAATACATATATTTATGTTGTGTTTATTCTATATGCAAAATCCCCCTTCAGAGACAGGCTTGTCAATAGCTTTCCACAAACAGGAACTTTTTCAGAGTACCATTACAAAACTGTTACACAAAAAGTGTCTTTTCGAGGAATAGCACAATGCACTCTTTTTAGTTAATAGAAGAAGGATATTTTAATCCACATGTAAATAACAAAGAAAAATTGTTTCCTTATATTGTTCCTGTGAACTGCCAGATAATGCAAGTCACCAAATGGCACCTCAGACGCTACAGAAAGAGTATGCCAGTGCTCCTTTTGTTGCAAATGAATTCTCTTTTTTCCATGATGACATTGTGAATGATAGCATTTAAATTTACAGCGTATTGTTCACTTCATCCTTCCATCAAATATCAGAGATCTTGAAAACTTTGTGGGACACACTTTCTTCCATAGCTTTTTGGGAGAGGTGAAAAAGTTTTTGCATTTTCTTTACTGCTTCATATTTCAGACATTTTGATGCAGCTTGTGAAACAATGTGAATACTGCATCTACCCTTCTGCACTAACACCATCTTACACATTTATCATCTCACATTTTAGTATAACTGAATGTCTAGCTGACATATTTCTGTATGGGTAAGTCACCTTTGCTATAAATAGATAGTAGTTTAATCACTTCTGTGTTGATTGTCTGGTTCATTCCAAATGCGGAAGTTAAGGAATTGGGATACCTAGACATGTTTTAGCTTTTTGCCCATCTCTTGAGCCTGTAGTACCTCCCCTGAAAGAAGCACAGAGAAGAGTGACAAAAAGTTGGACTGTGTGAGGAATGCTTTTTCTAAAAGGAAGAATAAAAGAGGTAATGATCCATTATAATTTCATATGATGAATATATCTCTGTGGGTCGAGAAATTTTGAGTGGCATCTACACAAGGTGGGAAGGTACTGGTCCTAGGCTAGATTGCATGTTTTCTCCTAAAAACCATGTGGGAGTTACAGATGGGAAAACTGTGTCTGCCCTGTTGAAAACTGCCCACAGTGCATCCATCAGTAATAGAATAGAAAGAAAGAGAGTAAATTGTTTCTTGAAACCGAAACTTTTTAGGTTTTCGATTTGGCAATGATGATAACAGCATTAATTGACTGAAACTTTACAAAAGACTGAACAATGAGACACTAAAAGTTTATGCTGTATGATTATATAGCAACAGAGGGGAAATTGTCATGGATATTTCCCTGCATGGCTTACCTGAAGTGGCTGCCTCCTACTTATTAGCTTTTGTGAGTTTAAGAACATAGATAACTTCTTTTTGTCCCCTCCTTTCCAAGTCTGACTGGTGCTGAGCTGCAGCTCAGCCATGTGTTATCCATATATTTCTCATCCTGTTGCACAGAGACAGGATGACTGAGCACAATGCAACTTTCTGCAGCCCTGTCTGTTGTTTCTGACCTTGTCCCATAGAAAATATCAAAATCTCAGTCAGAAATCAAACAGGAGCTTACTGATTCCTTTTGAAGGCATTGTTTCAGAAGTGGCTGACAAAGGGGAGCTCAGGAAAGGCTGCAATAGTTCTAAATGTGCCAGCACTGGAAAAAGCACTTGTTATATTCACTATGCTGAAGTGGAATAGTATGGCCTCTGCAGGCAGCCATAAAAGGACGGGGCCAGCTGGGAAGTCTGTGGCATAATATATAGAAAGACAGGAACGATGGGGTTGCCGAAAAACAGAGAACTTCTATTGTAAAAATAACAAACGCAGAAACCGCATGGTACAAGGACAACCTCTAAAACCCTCAAAATCCAGAAAGCACAGAGGTATATAGATGGGGTGGAGGGCATAGGATCCAATCAATAATGAGGATAAGGAACAAAACCAAATATGTAGCTGGCAGCCAGCCAACCGTATATGGAAACCAAGAACAACACATTATTTTTAACAGACTAGTTAACATATTAGTTCCCATGAGACAAGTCTTTTCTCTATTCTCTCACTATGATGTGGCTTTCCTCCTAGCTAGGTGTCTCCCAAGGTTTGAAGCCAAAGCTCTCTGCATCTGCAGGTGAAGTCAGCTCCCTGTCTACCTCAATTTCCACAGAGTAGATGGCAAATCCCAGACATAATGGCGTTGGAAAAGTCTGCATCAACTTGATTATTCTCTTTCAGGATATGAATTGTGGTGCTGAAGTTTCACTAGCCAGATGAAAGCAAGCCAGCTACTTTCGTAAAAGTATATTGAAGAAATCCACACTTCACAGGTTCTTTCAATGATGTGAAAATATGAATCAAATAAGTGTGTAAAATATTCTAGAATTGCAGAAAATGGGTTTTATTAAGCTCTTTCAGAAAGAGTTGGGACAGACACATTAAATATATTGCCAAAGGAGTGCAATATTTTTTGTAGGTTTCCTGCCATACAGAAGATGACATGACATATCAAATTTCCAGCAAGTTTGAATATTCATATTAGAAGTTTTCTGAATTATAGAAAATTGTCATTTTATAGAAGGATATATCTTTGAGTTTTTTCTTTCCTGTTAGGTGATCTGCTAACATTGATGGCACCTTTAATATCCTTTATATTTTTAGTGATCTGAAATAAAAAGTTTTATTTGCGTCTGCTACTTTTTCACTCCCAGCACTGAAGTTCACAGGTCAAGAAAGCCATTATCTTGCTGCTTTGATTATGCATGCAGTTATGTAATTCCCCCCACAGAGCACTTGCTTAGTTCTGTGTGGTCTATGAGGGCATCTCTACATTTGCTGCAACATATTCAGTTGCCTGATGGCAGCAACTGACCTTTCTCTTCATTGACATGACACTGGTTTGACTACTGCCTTTCAAAGACAATCAGGAGGAGGGCTGATTTCCAAACTGAATAAAACTAAGTTTCTAAAAGTTATTTAAAATACTAAAATGATTTCGTTAATTCATTCATACAGTAAGACATTTGTTAAGGAGTGAAGAGAGACCCTCTCTTGAATGTCAAGCAGGCTTGCCTAATTGTGATTTGTGAAGCTTTAGAAAGTGTTTCCCAGGGGAAGTTGTGGAAGACATGGTTCTATTATGTGCAAAGCTGTCTTAATTAATCTTGTCTGCTTTTATTTTTAGCAATATGCCTGAAATTATTGCTTTTTTCATTTATAAATTCTAAGGAATTTCAACCTACCTTGATGTGTCTCAGATATGGAATGAGGTGCTCTGATACGTATTGTGTAACTCTGTCACCTGCAACTTATATGAAGATATATATATGTATAATATGGTTTAAGATGTATGCAGTACATATGTGTCTGGGTCACTTGTGCATCCACTGTTGAGATATTAATTTAAGCTGAAATCAGCTGGGGAGTTAATTGCTCAGAACAAGAACAAAGTGGCAAAATTTTCCAGTGTCCAGCCTTTAACCTAGAAAATATAAGCGGCATAATTTCACTACAATGTTTTCACTGAGTGCTTATTGTGTGTTTTTTGGTAACCAGCAACGATGGAATTTTTGCCTTTTCATTATAAAATCCTTCAGCACCACAGTTTAAAGATTGCATTGTAAGGACATGGCACTAAGTTAGTATATGTTGAATATAACTTTGATTTCAGTCAAGTTTTCATTTGCACACTGGCAGAGTAGTTTTCTTCCAGGATTCAAACATGCACATATTTTTGAATATGATTGAGAGTTTTTTTTCTAAATAAAGTTGCATACTCTGTATTTCCCCCAGTCTAAATTAGGTGGATTCAGTTCACATGGTTTGTTCAGTGGAACCTTGAAGCTGCACAAGGCCAGTGCCTTTCATTTTTGGTTTGCTTTTGCACATTTAGTGCCTTGTCATTGTATGGCAGCTTCCAGTTCTCAAGCTCACACTATTTGAGTGAGATTTTGTTGTGTTCAGATGGAGCATAACGGCACCTACTCTTGCATGCCTGAAACCCGAATGTCCGGCAGGCTGGATCATACCTGCAGTTGTGAATGTGTGAACAAATTGGGAGACAATTTTTCAATGATAATAGGATTAGTATCGGGAGATTTAATTCCTTTATCTCTCCAACCCATAAAACATCCATTATTTTAGTGCTGGCTTGCATTCTCATTTCCAATCAGATTTCTTTGAAGACTGGAAAACTGTTACCTATGTGTAAATGTGATTAAGCTGATGCTGCAGCTCTTTATTATCTGAGCAATTAAGATTCAACATCTGAACCAGTCCCACTATAAGTAAGAATGAACAGGAAAAGTATTGCAAGAAAGTCAGACATTTTAAGAAAAATACCTGAATATATTTGGTGGCACATTATAATTTGAAAAATAGGGTACGGGATTCATGATGGAAAACCTGATATTCACCACTGTTGAATTGGCTTTATCTCTGTCAATTTGCTGTTATAATACACAGAAAATAGAGTTTAGAAATTTTTTTGTCCCTGGTGATAGAAGTAGATTTTCTATTATTGAAGATTTTGTTGTTTCTTTTATTCTGTGCATTCTCTGCAGAAGTTCTGAGATCAAAGAACATGCAATGCACTGAGCAGGAGAATTGTCTTTGTGTTAAACCTCTGCTTGCAAAACATGAAGTTTTCCACCAGAATGGAATTGGATTTCAGCACTTGTCATGCCTTTGTCTTTCAGCCTGGAATCCCTGCTATGAATGGCTTTGTCCGTGGATTCGGCTTTGTACTGTTGGCAGCAACTGGGAGCTCACAGTCCCTCCCAGGCTCTATCAAAATCAACACCACTGCTGTTTTAAGTCAGAGACAAACCAAAACTAGTCTAAACAAATGGAGGATTGTGTTGCCTGACAACGGGAGACAGCGGAAAGACTAGAAACAAGCATCTACGTTTTATTCTGGAAACAGGATACAGACCACAAAATACACACGGTTCACTTTTTTTCCCCCAAAATCTTTTAGGACAGTTTCACAGGTAAAAAAATTCATTCAATGATCAGTGAGATTCAAGAACTCTCTCTGAAACTGTGATATTTGAGTGTGATGGAGAAGGGCTGCTTTTGTAGTTGCAACCAGACTAAAATTTAGCTGATGATAATTTGTAACAAAATGGAACTCAGTTGACACTGAAATGGAGGATTAAAACAAGCACAGGGAGTGCTTAACTGCTGCTGTGACCAGCTTTTTTAATTGAATGCTGCAACAGTTCTCTTTGTTAAAAAATCAAGTTTTTATTTCAAAATCCTTCTGGTTTTGTGTTGCATAAACCTCTGATTTTTAGAGCATAAAAAAATTCATTGGATGCGTTGAGACACCTATGAAATTCTGTGGATTTCAGTAGCTCAATTTTGATACATTTTTAATGTCACAAAGTGACTGCCTACCTATGAAGACATGTGCAAGGTCAAGTTTCTTTCTAAATGCTGGTTTAAAGTTATGTAAAACCCCTAGCATAAAGAAAAAAGTCTAAAAGATGCCCAGAGAACCATCATCACAGTAAAGAGAACTGGAAGTTGTACATCCATCTCAAGCTTTGAAATTTTCATTCTGTTGACTAGATTTGCCCATTCCTAATTCAACCTGCCATTTGCAGAATCCCTCATACATTCCTGATGGGAACATTTCTGTAATTCATTGGTTATTTTTTTAGGGTTTGTCTGGCTTTTGCTTAATTAATGTTGTGCTTATTTTCAAGACTGAAGTGGTGAGGGGCCATTAAAGACCTTGGCAATCCCAGAGACAAATAGTGTTTGTAACACGTGAGAAAACTGGAGATAGTTATAATAGTATGAAAATGTATGTCACAGGCTCTTCTAAAGAAAAAAATAGCATCTTGGTTAAGCAGATGATTAATTCATTCTGGAGAAAGGAAAAGGAGGGTAGAGGAGTGAAATTATTACTGTTCCTTTGACACAGAATGGGGCTTGTTCATTAAAGAAAGGACACATTCTAATTTCTGACTACTTTTAATTAATTTTTTGCATTTTCAGGCTGAGTAATCTTTATTTTTTCTTTCTGGTGGTTCTGAACTGGTTCCCACAAGTGGAAGTCTTCCACAGGGAAGTTATGATGCTGCCTCTGGCTGTGCTGCTGCTTGCCACCATGATTAAGGATGCTATTGAAGACTACAGAATATACTAGTATGATAAGACAATAAACTTCACTAAAACCAGGGTATATGACAAGAAAGTAAACTAAATCAATTATTTGTTTCTTTGCTTCTGTTGTGGTAGAAACCTCTCATCTGATTTTACAGTAACTGCTTCACTGACCATTCAGAATACTGTAAGTTTGGAAAAAGCATTGCAAAATATTTTTTCTAACTTTAAAAATACCTTATTTATCTCAAATAATCTCAATATCATTGAGGCTTTGTTTCACACCACAACAGTGTGTGCTGATATATAAAGGTTTTCATTCCAAGTTTTCAGAGCAGCCTGCCAACACACACAACATCCTCTCTGGATAGCAAAAGGATTGGGAGGACAAATGGAACTTACGCAAGTCTGGAACAGAAAACAGGGGCTGTACAGAAAGTTGGAACAACGTCTTTCAGATGTTTCACACTAAACCCAGTAATACAGAAATTAATGATCAACTACATTCAAGGTGAATCATAATCAAGAGATGAAAAAAGTTCTAGGACTTCCAGTAAGCACAGGGATCAATACAAACCGGCTTGGCTTTGGAGCTGGTGCAACACCTGCAGGAAGCTGTTTGCTCAATACTGACTCAGAAGGAAGGAAGAAATATTTTCACTGCAATTCTTATTGCAACATTTCGATTTAATCAGAGTTTCTTGTCCAAGTACTAACTTGTGACTGCTTAATTTGTCACTACATCATGAAGCAAATAGGAGTTTTCATTTAAAATAATTCATTTAAATCTTTGTGTGCTTTCCTTTTTTCACCTGCCCTTAATCCCAGGCCACAGAGAAAAGAATTGCTATGGTTTACATACATGTCATTAGCTCTTCTGGAAATTAGCCCTCATCTGTGCTGACATACTTATTTGTCAGAGGAAGAAAGATCAAAGGGGAAGGAGTATCTGGGTGGGAGAGGAAGGTTTGGGGTCTGTCGGGGAGAAGGATCAGGCTGAGGGACAATTCAGGTACATTACACTTCACTTGCTTATGTCTATGTATGATTCTTCTGACTACAAAATCATAGGTTTACTTAGCTTGGAGAAATGTGGGTTAGTTGTTTGTTTAATAGTAATCCATGTTAGGGTCATGAAAACAAACAATAGATATAGGAAATAAAAGAGAAATACTGTCTGTACTGAAGCTTGTAGAAATCTTTGGTTGACATCTGGGACACAGAACTCTGCCCATTACCTTTGAGCTTCCTGGCAACTCCCAGGGTTATAAAGTGATTCTGAAACTCCTGAAGTGACCTATGAAAATTGTGTGTAGGTTCACAGCTTTGCCACTGCTCTATATTAAAGCAGACACACTTCATGAGAGCAGAGAGTTACTGTCAGGGAAATTGTCTAAACAAGGCCTCCAGGCATCTGCTGACAGGAAGAACAAAACATTCAGGATGCTTTTGGTATACATGAGGTGCAGCTGCCCCAGCAGGCTGTAGGATCTGGTGCAGCTGAGTCAGGATGATCCCTGTCCCTGGGTAGGTGGAAGTTGGAGTGCAAGAGGCAGCCCTGGGCTTTGTACATCTCAACTCTTCTCTCCACCATTTGGGAATTTACTTGAACTCTTCTAACTTCATTGGTTTTCAACTTGAAGCTACTTTTTGAAAGAAAAACAAGATGTCAAGGAAAATTGTTCCAGGCTGCTTCTCTACAATGGTACGGAAAAAATATTTTTTCAAGGAAACCTGCTGTCAATGTGGTGCTCCAGACACAGAAATCCAAAATGAGGAGCCGAAGAAAAGAGAAAAAGTAAGAAAGAAGAAAATTGAAAATAAACGAGTGATCATCTCCAATTTGCCCTTTGGAAGCAAGAAGTGGAAGGAAAATCCAAACAGATACTATGACTCCAATGAAATTAAGACCACAAAATATACCATCTTAACTTTTCTCCCTAAAAATATCTATGAGCAGTTTCATCGCTTTGCCAATATTTATTTTGTGTTCATTGCAATGCTGAATTTTGTGCCAGTGGTGAATGCTTTCCAACCAGAGGTGTCTGTGATCCCAATTTGTGTTATAATGACCATTACAGCCATTAAAGATGCTTGGGAGGACTTCCGGCGGTATAAATTAGACAAAGAAATCAATCATATGGGATGCTACATTTACAGCAGGTAAGCTTTGTATTGCTTTTATTACTAAAAACACTGGCTCAAGATCTTTTATAAATGGTGAGGCTTTTTGTTTAAAAAAAATTAATAAAAAACTGCTGAAAAATCACTGTCACTAGGTGAAATGGGGAAAAGTCATGGCCACTATATATGACCTGGTGTTTGTTCTCATACAGGAAAAGTTTGTTGGTTTTTTGGGGGTTTTTTTAAAGCATTTTTTTAAAGCATTTTTGTACTGGGAAGTTAAGTTTGAGTTTCATTACATTGGTGTATCTCTCAGCCTCTTAGACATGCAGTGCACTGAAAATAGGTGCTTAAAGAGCTACAAGCAGGTGAATTTCTAAGATATTTTCAAGAGGGTTTAATTTTATCGAAATAAAGTAGCAGAGAACAAGATCTGTCATGGGACTTGTTTGCATTCTTAGATGCCAAGAAACTGCTTAAAAACATGACCCTTTGAACTACATTTTATTTTATACTCTAGATTGTTGAGTAGCTTTCAGTTATTTTTTCTTTCTTAGGCAGTATGTAAAATGAACTCGTAAAAACAGTCTAGAAATGAAAGATAGTAATATATGCCTCTGTTTAGTCACCTCTAAATGAATTAACTGCATGTGTCTGTGCTCACTTCTTCAAAGTGTTTCATGACTTCTTGCTTTTAGGACATTCAGAAGATTGAAAATTATGTTTTATTGTATAAAACTGTTCTCTCAGCAAAGCAGCAAATTACTTTTCCCTGACAAAATATCACATCTGGGAGTCAGAAGTGCAAAACTTTCCATCTCTGTAAATGTGCCTGTCATCCCTTTAATCAACACTGCTTTATAAAACGTGCTTTCATGAGTAAGATCTTGCAGAACTCTGGTTTTTGTCGCATGAGGCTGTCATTAGTGTTTGTTTCCCCTGCATTTGTTTGTCAGTTTTTTATTTTTATGTCTTGCTGGTTAAACAGGAAAGTAATAGGTTTGCTTGTTTAGGGGCTAAACTTAAGCCCACACATAGATAATGATTTTAAAAAGCAGTCATTAAAAAAACTGCACTCCTCTCCTCGACAACTTTAACATTAAAAAAAATTTAAAAAGCTGGCATTTTACAATATTCTAAGTACTGTAGATTTAAGATCTCTTCCATGGTGAAGAAAGTAGTTCTTTGGGTAGGGTGGCAAACTGCCTATTCTGCCTATCTTTGAAATTTAAATCTGGTTGAATGTTCTAGCTTTTCCAATGTTGCATTAGACTATAAGGCAATGGATTATTTGTTAATACTTGTTAAAGCCAGTATGGGGCAGAATATGTGGGGCAGTAGATGCTAATGAATAAATCCACAGAGGGATCTTACTTATTTCCTCTTTACACACAGAAACCATGTCAGTTTAGATCTGAAAGCCTTTTACCATGAGAACATGAGAAGTAGGGAATACAGTAGAATTTGTTTTCTATACGGGAAAAATATCCACCATGGAATTACAGCATATATTCAGATCCAGATTCAAGATTGTTATGCAGAAACATGAGAACGGCCCTGCATTAAAATTGGTTATTTCATCCCATAAAAAAGATTTTGATCTATGAATCAGTCTTGTCTAAGCTCTTGTCTTTCACCAGTTTTATGGCCCAAAAAGGAGGTGTAAGGGAAAGGCAAATGAGGATGGCTTCAGACTACAGCATTCATTCTGTCTGGAAAAATTGTGGGTAATAATAATTGCCATGAGATCAGTCACTACAGCTTATTTTATTATGAATAACTTCAATCGGGCTTCTCTGGTGCTTTGGGAAGCTGATATTTCTTGTTCTTCTTGCTAGCTGTAAAGTCATGGAAGGGCATGATATCTTCTAATTTTCTTCCATATGAATCATGAAAATAGGTAACTGTTTTAACAGAAGTGAAAGCCTTTTTGGGATACTGCAAAATTTATTAGTCTTGTGGCAGCAAAAAGTCATTTCTAATAGAACAACTGATCTTCCATCCTAGATGAAATATTACTTACATTTCAAGAGGTAATCTTGTAGTGTATGTTGTATTTATTTCAGGTGTTAAAAAGGACCCTGGCACCTGTTCCAAAATAAATACAAAGGCAAACCAAACTTTTCCAGACACTGAATGTTCTCCAAAACTTTCTTGAAGACCAGGGGAAATGCAGTAACTTGCCTTCTTTCAACGCAGAGCAAGAGAAATTAAAATTAAATAGGCTGGCCTGTAAATTTATTTATTCTAATTTTTTTTCACAGAGATCAGCTGAAATGGGAAATCTAGTCTGCTGGTCAAATAAAAGAACAGACATTTCCAGTAGTGTATTTAAAGAATGTTTAATTGAAAAAATGAGAAACAATTAATATGCATTAAAGTGTCCTGGGGAGATGAAATAACCTAGATGTTTAATTGAGGAGTTTGTACTTTTGGAACCAAAACTTTTGGAATCATACTCTGTAGACAAACTGCACTGCTGTTGGAACAAATCACACAACACCAAAAGGAGAGAACCAAAAATTGACTTGCAGATGGTACAGACCTGTTTAAATGCCTACTTTCTCGTGGTGTTCTTTAAAATATACTTTGTCTACTTTAAAATTTTCCAAGCAAGGCAGACTTCCATTACTACAAAATGCCAAAGCATTTTCTATGATACTATACTTTATTATCCCTCTTTAATTGTATTTAAATTTCTCAAGTCATCTGATTTCATGGAACCATGATTAGTTAGACTCCATTCATAACAGTTAATTATAATCTTCAAATATGTCGGATTTTTATCCTATTCATTTGGTTGCACCCAGATGTAGGAGAGGGTCTGTAGTGACAGAGAGTCCCCAGGCAGGTGCAAAGGCAAGCCACTTTATTGCAAGAACCAGGCCTTTTTAAGCAGTTAGGCCTTTATCAGTTACATAGTTTTAAAGTATAACAAACATAATTCAATCGACTACCAAACACCACGATGTGAACATGCACTAGTTATATAACTTGTTTTTCTACCACTAATTCATCTGAGTCACTTTCCCACAGTCCTTTTCTACTTAGCTGAAGTAGCAGGCCTGAGCCATGATTTTAAAAGGTTAACAAGGCCCTTATTTTATAGGGCTTTACCTGTATACACCCAGAGACCTTTTAGTCGACTGGCACAGATTGCTCTTTTCATCTTTCTTGTCAGTTAGTCCCTCCAAACCTACCATGATTATTTTTCTCTAAACTCTCTTCAGTTTGTCATTAACTTACTAACAGGAGCCAGCACTGAATGTGATATACAAACCTGAAAGTGAATGTCAATGCAATAGTTGCTAAAAGCTATTATTCAATTTTCTTGAAGTTCTATAATATTTAAGGAACTAATTAATTATTGTTATAAAAATATTGTATATAATTACTAATGTAATTATTATATAGCTTGGCTGTGATATACTCCAAGGGTTATATCAAGTTCTGTAAGTACTCCATTGCATCCAGACAGGTTTTTGCATCAATTTCACAATTTTGGAAGATTAAACCTATTCTTATCTCAGTGTTGTAGTAGACACTAAGATACAAATGCAAGGACTATGCACAGTTCAGTATGGCACAGCAGCAGCCACAAAAATGTTAACATTATTTAAGATATTCATAATTCTTAATTTTAAGAAAAAATTAAAAATTCTGATATCTGAGACAGTGACTCAGAGAAACCTTGTTTATATGCCTTGAATCATCCATTGGACCTTTTGGAGAAGTAGGTAAGTCAACAGGCATCCTAAATGAGGTGCTTTGATTACTCTTTCCGTAGAAAGTTCCTCTGTAATTCTTTCAGGCCTTGTGGTTTTCAGGTACTTCCTACAAGCATACATCTCCTCCTCCTCCTCGTCTCTAAATCCACTGATGTTTGTGGTACAAAAAATTTAGGCTGGCCTTCACTCTGACTCTTTGTTTAGTGTAAGGTTTTAGAACATTTAAAGATTTTTGCATCAACACTGGGTTAGCCCTAGAGCAGAGGTATAGAAAGAAGGAAAAAACAAAGTTCTCATAACTATTACAGGAAATCAGAACTGCCAAGAGCTGAAAAACTGAAAGTGGCTTAATCTGGATGCACGGTTTTGAAAGAGAATTAAATTTTTTCAGTTGATTGAAATATTGTAATTCTGTGCTGCAATTTTCTCTCTGACAGCAATGGAGATTTGCTTTCTTACAGGTGACCATACATACAGGGTCCTTTTTTTTTCTATGGGAAGCTGGGCAGCAAAGGCAAAGGCAAAGGCTGCTGTTCTGTTTGAACCTCCTTCATATGCTCTATTCAGCTGGATTTCTGAACGGAGGAGAGATCATACTTCCCATGGATGTTCCCCATGTCTGGGATAGTGCCTGGAACTGACCAGGGGTGCAGTGACCAGCAGAGGTATGGGGCATCTGGAAGAAAGCAGAGAAAAAGGTAGGGGACATACTTGAAAACAGGAATTGACCTACTGTCAAATCTCAGAGTTTAAAGAGAAACAATTTTTCTCTGGACTTGGAAATATCATATGCAAGTCATTCAACCCAAGGTGAACCTGAAAATTTGTAAAGTAGAAGGCAGGATGAGAGGAAAATCCCATTCTGCCAAGGGCACAGTGAGCAGAAAGATTTCTTGCCAACACTTTAATTTAAAGTGTTGGTCAGCAGCATTGAGCTTTCACTTGTTAAAGAGCCTCTTCTTTCTTTTTTGTTTTTTGACAAAGCATTACTTTATAGACTATGAGCCTGCTGGAGGCTTTAGTGGGTTCATTTTATACACAAAAAAAGGTCTAAAGCCTGTGTCCCACTCAAAACCTCACCACAGGCAAAATTGCAATCCATTTTATTGGACATAGCAATATCAAGGCCACCTTAATGGTACTTTCCTTGAGTGCAGGTATCTCTTCAGTTGGAGGCTGAAGACCTCCTGAATAAGTTAATTCCTGTGACAGCCACAAAGCATGTACTTGGATCGGTTGCAAGCTACTACCCCCTTGCCTAATGTCAAACATGAGAGTGTTGTTCTCTGGCAATGGGCATCCCCTGCTCTA